TGTGTGTGTGTGTGTGTGTGTTGTGTGTGTGTGTGTGTGTGTGTGTTTTCTTACCCTACTTTTTCCAAATGTATGTAGTTCAGTAAGGAAATAACACAGAGCTTGTCTTTCTGCTTCAGTATAAATATGAAGTGGGATGAAGATGTTCCCAATGGCCTGCTCTACCAGAATCAAACCTTTAAAAATCTCTCTCTTTTTTTTAACAACTCATGGCTTTATTATTTGGCTGAAAACTCATGGAAACTTTAATTTTTTTTTTTAATTTGGAGAAATCTGCCATATTGAAAATAGTGTATGCTGTAATCTAAAATAAAGCCTGTAAATACAGATAAAGGAAGAAATGTTCTTTTTATTAACATTATCATTCTTTTGGCTACTGTAGAAATAGCATATAACAAACTTTTTTGCAAAGAATACAGTTTTATACAATAGAGACAGCAATTGTAATATACCTAAAGTAGTGGTGGATATTAAGTGAAATTGTATTATTACCACAAAGAAGCTTCCATAATAACTGCCCTTGAGGTTTGTGCTGTTGATTTAGAATGTTCTATTATGGATTCCATTATGAGGCTGAACTGCCAATTACTGAACATAGTCTACTGTTTCCAATTGTCTATTATTGTAGCTAGTCTTTCTTGTCAGACTTTCTTTGGACCACCAGCCCCCAAATAATGACATGGAGACTTGTTATTAATTATGAAAGCCTGGCTTTTTTTTCTTAGTTTTAATTTCATCTTTATTTTTTTCTTCAACTTTATTTGTTGGCAATGATTGCTTAAATCATGATTGATTTTCTCCAAAATCTTTAAAGTTCAGGTTTTTTATATAAATTTATATTGAAACTAGAAACAATCTTATTTTACATATCAATCAAAGTTCCCTCTCCCTTCCATTCTCCCATGCCCCCTATAAACCTCCTTATCCCATCCGCATCCACTCCCGAAGGAGGGTGAAGCCTTTCATGGGGGGGGGGTTATCAAAGTCTGTCACATCATTTGGGGCAGGGCCTAGGCCCTCTTCCGTGTATCTAGACTGAAAGAGTATCCCTCCATAATGAATGGGCTCCCAAAGTCCATTCATGCACTAGGGATAAATACTGGTTCCACTGCCAGAGGCCCTCTATGTTCAGGGGACCTGGTTCAGCCTTATTCTGATTCCCCAGCAGTCAAACTGGAGTCTATGAGATCCCACTCACTCAGTTTTTAACTCATGATTTTTTCATTCTCCTTTCTTCTTTTCTTTTCTGATAAAACACTGGATACAGAGTCTTGGCCATGATTAGCAGACATGCCATCACTACCTATGCTCCTAGGACTTTTGAAGAATACATTTTGTAAACATCTTGTATAAGATTTTGATACAAAAGAAATTTGCAAAGATTAAATACAAGTGAAAAATGTCCCTTGTCATATCTTAATATGGAAAGCAGGTATTTCTCAGTTTAAAAAGGCCTTTCCTGCCATAGAGGCATTCTCTGTTCAAACGTAGATAAAGTTGTATGTAGGAAGAGAGCAGGGTTTCAAAAATTGCAATCAACCCTCTGTTTTTAAAACAGTAGCCCAGCTTTGGAAGGACCAAGATATCACAAACTCCATACCAGGTTATTCTTCTTTCCAAAAGTAGTGAGTCGCAGGCTTCTGAGGACATTTTGTTCTGTGTTTAAAGGTTGAAATGAACAGTAAATTAAACATACTTAACAGAAAAAATCAGTGAATTAGGAATCTTAATTCATAAATATTTTTGAAGTTAATTGCTTTGGTTTTTGATACAATCTTATCCTGGTTTCTGTAGCTGTGAAAAATCCCTGCAGCTGGCTGCTTGATGAAGAGTAGGGGTTTATCTGCCTTCTAGTTTGGAGGGTTGAATGTCTCAGATGGTGATCCCTTTGCAGAGGGTCTTAGGGCAGGCATCATAAAATTGTGGGACTGTGCTTGGAAGGTGTCTACTGGGGAACCTGGAAGCTTATGTAATTCGCAGCCAAGGCCATTCTTCAAAGCAGCTTGCTGTCTTGAAAATCATTCAGGTTCCAGGACAATACATTAATCCTTGTCATGCATAGTGTCCTCCATAAACCGACCATCCCAACCAAGCCCTCCCTTTCAGTGATCCCACCATGTCTCAACATCCCAAACCTGTGGCCAAGCTTCCAGAACATGAGTTTTTGGGAGAATAGCTTCAAACCCTTTTTAAACCATGAAAGATGCTTACAAAAAGTTTCTAAATCAAAAGACAAACTGCAGAGAAATTTTGAATAATGGTCTAGTCAGGTTTCTGCCAACAATTTATATGCAGGGAAACATTGTTAAGGACAAAACATGCTGCAAAATCTTGTCTGGCTTTTGTACTTCAGGAAGTGTTGAGGCAACACACCTAAGATATCCAAGAAGCAATCGATAGGATTCTTTGTCAAAGCATCAAAGAGCTTAGAGTATGGTGGATTGTTTGGAAATGGGTTTCAATAAGCCCTATTGAACTTCCAAGTCTTTAAACATTGATGCATTTTCACACATTGAAAAAAAATTTCCTGCAACATATTATCATTCCTATTTTATTGATAGGAAGATCAGTGCTCTAAATTCCAATTAAATTTATTATATTAGTTCACCTTATCTATGGGGGAATATATCTCAGAACCCCCAGTGGATGCCTGAAACCACTAGTACCAAGCCCTATAGATTACTTTGTTTCCCTTATATGTAGATGCATCCAGTGAAGCTTAAATTATACTCTTAAGTATAATAATATAAATATAATATTGGTATATAACCATTCTAACAGTATTGCATAATGAAAGTTTTAAAACTACAGTGGACATCAATATTTGGGCTGAGGGTAAGACAAGAATATCTTTCTAATTAAGTTTCGGTTTAGCTTCACCAGGATCGCTTCCTCACCTTTTTTTATTGCTTGGGTTTCAGATGTGATGAATATGTCACACAGTTGGATGAGATGCAGAGACAGTTAGCAGCTGCAGAAGATGAGAAGAAGACTCTAAATACTTTATTGCGAATGGCTATCCAGCAAAAGCTCGCCCTGACACAGCGGCTGGAGGG